CACACACACACACACACACACACACACACACACACACACACACACAGAGTTTGCAGACGCGAGGGAATCAAGAACTGGTGGTGTTGGTGCGCGAACGAGCTGGCGAATCGTTTCACCCTTCTCCGTTTCGTGCGGCGCTCTGCAAATAAAGGATCGAATTCGGCGGACTTGCGACCGGCTCTGGAGAAAACCCGCCGAGAACCCGCCGAGGAAAAAGACCAGGCAGACGAATACCAAGTGTTTTAAAATACTACGCCGTCTCTCGCGAGCATGGGGAGCGAAATTCTGCTTCGGTAGCGAGCAGTCGGTATAAATCCTCCTACGCGAAGAGGCGGCGGAAGTTGCCAGGAATTCCATAGTCAAACGTACCGACGACCTGACGAACTTTCGACCAAAATATCTACGATGCCTTTGACCGTTCTTCTTCCACGCGATTTATCCAAAGAGGAGACTTCTCAACGTTCTCTCGGCGATTCGACGAAAGTTTTTGGAAATAAAAGAAAACGGATACGCAGCTACCGGAAGGCGGAAGGACGATTTCGATGTAAATATAGAACCACGGAGGATACACAGCGCCGCATGTATATTTCGCTCGATATTGACGTTCTGTGTTCTGCGTTTCATATCTTTCATAATGACAGTCGAAGCCGGTCGAGCTCGAGATGCCAGTTGTCTCGAAGCCTCGTCATCTTCGAGACACGAGCGAGGAGGATCGACCTCGTTTCTCACACCAAGCGGAGTGGCACGCGCGCGCAAGGTGTCCCGCGATAGTACGCGCCGCTCGTATCTCTCGTTCTGGCTTTAAGAGGACGGATTGAGCGGTGCGTGAAGATAAACGGTAACGTTTATCGCGCTCGCGTAACCGGCATTAACGGCACGGCTCATTTGCATTGATAAGTTGCGTGGCCGATATATTAAACGCGTCGCGCGGCAACAGTTTTCTCCTGGAGCCGCCAAGCAGATCCAAAGTCGGCCAGCTTGAAATTGATACGCGAATTTACGCGGCTATTCTTCTTGCCGGCGTCGCCGGCGTTGGAAATTGGTTGGCGCGTTCTTTCTGCGAGCAACGATATCACTGGCGTGAGTCAGAAGCTTTACATAGAGGTAAAATTTTCGTCTCGCCATTAACGAAAAATAAGTCGCCTGCTCGGCTGTTGGATTTCAAATTATTCGTATTCGTTCGCGCAACCTCGTTTATCTCGTTCGAACTCGTCGGGCGGCAAATTCGATTTGTACAAGAGGAATTCGCGTTCGGTTGAGCGAATTCAATTCAATTAATCACGCAACGGATGTTGACTAAAATTTCGCCCCAATAAATGCAATTCGGATAATTGGCGTCAAATTGGCACCGAGAGATTAACAGGTCCGTGTTGCCTTCGTACAATCAGATCGAATCGGAGCACGCGAATTTTCATCATCGGCTCGGAAGAGAATCGACGGGAATATACGTCGAAATCAAACTCCGAAGCCGTATGAATGAAGCGTGAAGTTTGATTACCTGGCAAAGTTACGAGTTCAAAACTCGATCGAATATTTCGGTTCAGCGTTCGACG